AGAGGCACTGGACGTGGCTAAATTGACATCACATTGGAACCCATAATACTTCACAGTGACACACAAGATGAGATGTAATATGATCCATCTGTCAAGTGGGAGCGTAACGAGGCACGAACAGATGTTTGCGCTACCTGTAAGTTGGGCGAATCCCAGTTTGACAACGAGTCATCAGATAATGGTGTCACGCGTGTGAAAATGCGACCAGTCTGTTAAGCGAAAATGTGGCGCTTACAAGTGTTTCTAACTGGTTTCCACTTAGTCATACAACATGATGTTGATTTAGCTTCCCGGGTGTGGCTGCGAGTAGAGATATCAGTTGACATACCAAAGGTCCCTGGTTCGAGATGCAGTGCTGCAGGGGTGCGAGCGCGTATTTGTTCACACTTGTGTATGGACTAACACCAACTGAATGGAGAAACAGCAACCTTCATGAGCAATAACATTACGTACGCGCATGAGTTTGGATTGAATGAAAGAATAACAGCCGTATTCCACTAGTCTTGGAAAACCTTACGTGCTACTATAAGCAACCAAAACGACTGTCACTAGTTAGCTAGCTTTTGGACGTGAACCTAAATGGCAGCCGTCCATGTAGTCAGAAATGTGGGCATCAACAATAGATGGAGACAGATATAGGAATAGGGAAGCAAATGCCATCAATGGGGGTTACCAGGTGGAATAATGCACAAATAATAGGTACCGTAAAACAGTGAGGAGTTTCGTCTGGTGTGCATGATTACCAACAAGGCCGAAACGCTTCTGTTCTGGTTGTTGAAGAAATGTGAGCAGACTTCGTTAGTGAAATGTGGCACCCATCCACGTGCCTCCCGGTCTTATTCCTTCGGGTTTACACTGGATATGGGGTATGTGGCTGGAGCTGTGGGTGGTGCAGCGCAAGCCACCCATAGTCCCTCTGTAGGTGCAGGCGTCCTGTGGCTGGCCAGTGTGACAGGTAAATCCGAAACCGGATGTCACCAACCATATATGACACTACCAATTACATTACAATTGGCTGAGTGCCATAACACATAAGAATAAAGATGGAAAGGGAAAACGACTGTAAAAGGTAAAAAAGTCTCACAGCAAGTGCAGTATTGCATACGGTCCTTGGCCATATCCTGTAGCGTTTGCAACCAGATGTGTTCGGGGTCCTTTGGTCCCCCAACCCGGAAGTCGGGAATGCCCAACAACAGCCAGCTTCAACGTTTGCACCTTAACGCATTGTATGCAAGTCTTACACTGGCCTCCCTGCCGTCGCTTCCACCCGACGCCTGCGTTCACAAATATGGCACGTCGTGGTAGCCGCTGGTTAGGCATGCGGAGCCCATGCAAAAGAAAGCGAAGCCTCTGCAATGAAATGATGCTAGCAATCGCTGGGTGTTCGTTAGATCTGAAGACTCGCAGACAGTCCATCTCACTACTGATATGATGCTGCCACCGAACACCAGCAATACCTCGAAGGCAACGGTGATGGAAGACAGATAGCCGATGAACATCGCTTTTGCTACCGGGCCAAGTCTCACAACCATACAGCAATCGCTAGTACCGTAGCATGGCAGACACGTCCTTTGAGAGCGAGGCTAAGGTAATCACGAAGTCACAGGTGACGAAGATAAGCGAAAGTTACTCTAGCCTTGGAGACACGCGGGGAGATCTCATCCGTCAAAACGGCAATACTAAGACAACTCCCAAGGCAAATGAATTTGTCGACCACTTCCAGCGGATGCCCCGAAGGGGTGAGAAAAAGACATGCACGGGGCGAGTCCTGCAACAGGACCTTAGATTTGGTCAACCCAAATTGGGAGGCGAACATCTCCAGTCTAAGCAGCACATGCCAGGCGGCTTGGGAGGACTGGCAAATCACACTGATGTCATCGGCGTACTCTAAATCCCGAAGGCGGTCACCGGGGAGCAGTTCAACACCGCGGCACTCAGTTATTCAGGGCAGTATCCAGCATCTCATCCATGGCGAAGTTGAACAAGAATGGAAAGGCTAGGCAACCCTGTTTAACACCGCTAGTGACACTGAAAGCGGGCGAAATGTATCCATATACTCGCACGCGGTCCGAAGTTTGATGGTAAATGGCACAGAGAATGCTGATATACTTCTCAGATACTCCCCACTTCAATAAGCAGTCCCCAAGAGCCACTCTGTCAACAGACTCAAACGCAGCTCAAATGGCCAAGAATATGACTACGGTTAGCCGAGTGAACATATGGTGATGTTCAGGTATCTGGTGGATCATAAATATGTGGTCGGCGCAACTGAGACCCAAACGAAATCCAGCCTGTTGTTGACGCAGGTGCTGTTCCCGTACGCAATTGAGCCTGCGTAAGAGTAGGGCTGGGAGCAGTTTGGATGCGACACAAATGAGACTGATGCTACGATCATTGGAGAAAATGGTCCAATTTCCATTTTGGTAAACAGGTACAACATTCACTAAATTCCAATCGGATTGGATGATTTCAGTAGTCCAAATCTGATAGAACGGAGATATCAGTACACGAGTGAGAGCAGGATCCCCATATTTGAAGAGGGCAAGAGAAGGTTCCACTGTGCCAGGTGAGTTGTGGCGCTTTGGCAGGCGAAGCTCATAAGAAATCTCCGCCTCGAGCGGTGGAGCACTGTGAACCCCGGAAGATGGACTCGATTGTGCTGGTGGCCAGTTCAAGTGATCTTCAAAGTGCTCTGCCCATCGTACCAGACGACGGCGACGACTGGGAATTAGTTCGCCGCCATTTTCACGCAAAACCTCACAGTTGGACTTCTGCCTCCCGCAAAATGAATAAGTTGGAAGAGTTTGAGGGAGTTTCCTGATGAGGCTGCCCGCTCCATCTCAACAATGCAGTGACCACCAAACCTCGCGATCCTTCCTGAAGAGCTGTATGAGCTCAGCACATGTAGTTAAGAGCAGTGGGTTGTACTCAACTCCGGAGGGAATTGTTCGACGGCCGACAATTAATTAAAGAGACCGAGTGAAGATTCAATGATTAGCAGCTCGTCTAGTGAAGCCATAGGCCAGGGCAGCGGATTTTCGTAAGGCGCTCTGGATCTGTGCCCAGTGTGTCTCAACATTGGAGGATAGACAACGCAGGTTGGAGGCTAATGTGTTCTGAAACGTGATGAGAACATTTGGGGCAGCGAACTTGTCTGGGTCAAACCGTTTCTCGAGACGCTGTTGGGTGCCTCCGAAACGCATGATCCTAAATCAAGTAAGTGTTCCAAATTGACATGCAGTCCGTTGTGCAGCCTCGCCAACGGTAAATAACAGCGATGTGGTCAAGTTGCGTCCCAGCTTGACCAAGCACCGGAGGTCGCCAGGTGGCTGGTTGGCGCCAGGAACCCCGGAAATTCATGCTTGTAAGGAACAAACCGTGTGCGGCGCAAAAGTTGGAAGGAGTCGATTACCGTTGTCCGTAAAGCGAGTACGTGGCTGTGTTGACCCCCAAGTTCGCGTTCAAGAACCTTTAGTCTACCGACCTGCACATTTAGGTCTCCGGCGAGTACCACGATGTCCGTGTCGCGTTTCTTGCGAAGGAGGTCCGTGAGTTGCCAGTAGAACTCGTATTTAGCTTCATCCGGGCTGCAGTCCGTAGAAGCGTACGCCACCACAACGAATAAGCAGCGCCTACTGGTCCCGTGGTTGGGATATCGCACTGAGCTCTCCAAGCGAATCGCACAAAGACGGCTGTTTACCAGGAACCAGTCAATGAGCACTGCCTCAGCATGCGCGCTTAACGCAACTCCTACCTCGGCGCAACCAGAGACTGCTGCAGTCGAATCGCCAGATAACGGCTTCACGTAAACCAAGATTCTCTTCGGGCAGGTTTTGCTGCGGTAGCACGCAACCAAACCAACTGTCCTGACGTTGTTATATATTGTTGTTCTTACGGTGGGAGTCGGGTCGACTGGATCCACTGCACTTCGGTGATCCGATCACAGTTGTTAAACTGAACTGAGCTGAGACATGCTAGTCTTGGAAATAAATCTTCATCGCCTTGTGTAGCGTTACGGTCACGAGAGCATATCTTTGAAACGACAGGAAATTGAGCTTGAGAAAGGCAAAGAGGATCTACAGGCTGATGTGCTGGTAGCCGAGTTTAGTCAAACAAGGGAAATTAAAGCAATACGCGAGATACCGACGCTTGTGGATATAAAGGAAAACGGCAGCATAAAATGGTGAATGCATTGAGCCCGAATGTCAACAGCTAATCCGACGACAGCCTGGGACTACCCCGAGTGGGTCAAACCGCTAACCTGATACGACATCCAGCAACGACGAAAAGTCATCTGAAGGATATCAGACGCCACAAAGAGGAAGATGCATTGTTGACAGTGCTGTGAGAGGCGATCCTGAAGGAGTGGTCATGGATTTACCAGCAGCTTCCAAAAGAAATCCACATACCACTCCGATTGCCACGATGGTTTGCTTTACAAATGCAGTCGTTTTCTTATCCCGCCACCGCTCCGAAGAGATATGCTGTAATACGCCAATCGAGCTCACAAGGGCGTTAAGTATAGCACCAACAGTGAGAGACATTACTTGTTCTGGCTCGGGATAACAAGCCAGGAAGTCAAGGGTGTCCAAAACATGAAAACCAGCGGACCAGGGAACCAATATTGAGCAGGAAATACCACATCGATCAAGATTGAAGATCGGCATTATTCAAAACACTGTCAGCTAGAGTGGGCTGTACACGCGAACATGTGATCACCGAGCTGGCAGTCGGGTTTCAAACGCCTGGGGATCAAGTTAAATGTCATCGTAAGTGTGAAGCGCCCTGACACCTTTCCTCAGTGAACAGTTTAGTGATCTGAAGTCGTTAACTCGAGGAGGAACGGAAACCAATGTGGACGCAAACATGACCATAAACTACCTCACATACAACGCGTAGCATCATGTGAAATAGAGCGTCAGACAGCAACATGTGGATGAAACTCATCAGAACTATGAGCACACAGGGAATAATGGAAAACACCTGAAACAAATACTCACTTAGGTGCACTGCTTCAATGTGTCTTCTTAATAAAAACCTGTGAGAGAAGCGTCTTTCACAATGCTCGCATCTGTGGGGCTGTTTCCCTGCAATAGTAAATAAAGCTATGTTAACAAGAGCAATAGAAGTAAGGAAGGCGATGACAGAAGCGAAGTGCTCCCAACTCGAAAATTAACCAGAGAATTTTAATCCCACAATCAAGTTGCACAAGTTGCGGAAATTAAACCGTTGCTCGGATGTAACAGATGTTTTGGTAACCAACACAAGCAAAGACGTTTCTACGCCAGTTACGAGCGTAGGGTAAGCAGAGTGAGGGTTTACAGCAAACTGTCGCCGCCGTCCTAAGAATACGGCAGTGTGAGATAGGGACGCCTACTGTCACCTTTGCTTCTTAACTTCTTTACTGACAGAGTTGTGGAAACTGCATTCACCAGGCACAGAATAGAGGTAATGCTGCTCATTGATTTGCAATATGCAGACGATATATCCTTCGTCAACAACAGCCTACTAACACGCCAAGTGGCACAGGACAAATTAACACTGGCTGTCAATCTAGCTCATCTGTATTCATCCCCTGCAAACTACTTCTTCAACAATGGCAGAGGACGCACCCTGCGCCGACACCTGGTGTGGATAAGCCAGAAATCGTGTAGAGATTCAACAACATGGGCAACTGTTTCAGCGCAGGTGGAAAGGGAGATGAGATCACAAAACGTGTAGCCAAAGGTGGAACCGCTTCTGCTAAGCTTCGCGTAAGTATGACGTTACTCTTGACCTAAAGGATGGAGTGTACAATTCAACCCTATTGCGCGGTCGTGGATCCTGGCCCATAAAGTCGACAAACGTGAAGAACCCAGTTGCGTTCGACCAACGGTGCTTTCCAAGCTTAGCTTACATCTGACAGAAACACCGCGTGAGCAGTGAGCGTCCTCGGCGTCATGTTTACGGCGCAGTAAGAGTCTGATAAACATAATAAAACAGGGATGAAACTACGCCAGCGGGTTTGCTACCCGATGTTGTATACAATGAAATACCATTCGCAGTCCATCTGTGCAGATTGACATAATGTGCCAGCCAGATGTGAGAAGCATGAGAAGGTCAGAGGTGTTAAAACTCACGATTCAACAACCCTCTCCTATAGGAGCCTGACAGAAACCACAGATAACTGCATTATGCAAAGCCTCGTCATCGCCACAGTATAGTCAGCTGACTAGTACAACTCATTTGATGTGGATGCGAGACCAAACTGGCCATGGCAAACGGCAGACCACTACTGTCCACTGTGCTTTTCGCAAAAAACGACAAACTCATGGAATAAACACCGAGCTAAAAGTAGTTGTTAATTACAGACAACATTCGGTTCAAATTTAAAAACGCCAGGCGCATTATTGAAAGTAATGACAGACGGAGGGTGTAGAACTTACTCAGGTGAACAACGTCTACGTGTGTCCGAAGGTGAGACTTTACAGAGAAAGATTTTCCACAGTATTCGCATTTGTGATCTCGCTGCTCTGGAATAAAAATATACAAGACGTTCACAGTCATGTACAGCATTGATGATGGATCTATTTCATCGGGTTTGGATGCGGAGTGGTTATTGGTAGAGCGAAATTCTGTCTAAAAACATCGGGTTCTCTTGCATTAACCAATACATTACATCAAAGCAATGACTGAAAAGCAACTAGGCTCCGCTGTTGAATACCCAAATGTACGCATGTCTACGTCCAAAACTAGATACACAGCGAATTTCCGGAATACTTATAGAGATGGACAGCTATCTCTCAGTTCATAGTGTTTAAATGTGCAGTATATGTGAATGCAGACCAACCTGATGATCAGACCGTAAACTGGAGTCAACAGGAATCACATATGACTAGGGAATCACGATGGAAACCGGAATATCGTGAGACTAAATGACAGTTGAATTCATTGATATAGGCGCAATAACACTGAAAAATATATTAATCAGATAGAATTTACCAAAAGATATAAACAAAAGTAAACGAAGCAAATTTCCGGTTTCGGTTTTGTAAAAGCTTGTGTTAGGGCTAAGTCTCGCTCTTAACACAAGAGCTTTTTCAGGTCAGTCGACCAAACTAACTCAGATGTGCTCTTTTCTTGGTTGAGGTAACGAACAGGGTGCGGTGCATGTTGTGTTCGACCTGGTTCAAGCGTAGTGTCATAAATGAGTATCTGGTCATCAAACGCTAACCCGTCAAAACTTCGCTCGAACTTCTTCAGATACCATGCACATAAGTCATTTCAGGCAAACATGATTCTTTAGCAGAGCAAATACAAAGCCAAATGAAATCAAAAGTCGCTTGTTGGTGGGAGTTGAACGCAAGAAAATCAAGCAATTTCCACGAAAATGCACAAGTAGTAGGTAATCAGACAATCACTGAAATAACCACACCTATGGTTTAGCATCAGACTCAATGGCCGATGAACGCCTAAGTGGTTTCGTCACCGATTGCCACAAATGGGGAGAGCCAAAGACCAACAACTTTGATCCAACAACCTAACACATATTGGTGAAAATGTACCTAAGAACTATTTCGTAAACAAGAAGTAAACATGCGTGTCCACAGCCGTTCTAAAGGAGAGCAGATGCTCGCAGTCCCTATTTGTGCCGGTGGCATGGGGTCGTGAAAGCTATGTTAAAACTCATAAGCATCCCAATAGAGAAAAACCAGTTGCCATCGCAGTCATGAACCTGCCAATTCATCGTTTCACTTGACCTTTTCGGTAACTTGGCAAAATGGAAGCATCGTTCGAAGAGCAGGGCATCGTCAGATGACCGCAAATGATTAGTTGCTAACGGAGTGCGGGAATACTTGTCCCACCAGATACCGGAAACATTTTCGAGTTGAAATTGCCAGAAAACAAATTGTAATAATATTTATACGGTGAACGGTGCGACCAAATATGGTTGCCGGCATCCGATTTCCGATTAGCATGTCACTGTGGCCAGCCGCAGGAGGGATGCGCCTACAGAGGGATCATGGATGGCTTGCGCTGCACCACCCACAGCTCCATCCACACACCCCAGATCCAGTGTAAACCCGAGGACCGGAAGGCATGTGGATGGGAGCCAGGTTTCATCAACGGAGCCGGCACACAATTCTTCACAGGGAAACACAAACACGCCGTCCATCTGCTACTCCATCAATTTGATAGTACGGTGTGTTTCTGAAGTGAAAGTTGACATTCTCCGTACACAACAACCAAGAGTCTTTTAGTAACTCAACTGGCATCGGTAGAGGACATCGCGAACTTTCTGCTAGTTCACAAGTGTAATCAACAGTTTGGTGCAGGTGAACATTGGTAAACAGCGATTCCACACCTAACGAGCACATGACCTTGTCGGATAGATTAAAAATGCCGATGTCCTCGAAAAGCTAGAAATAATCTTTGAGGTTGTATAGATTGGCACACTATCGCAGCGGAGAAAGCAATTTCACCAGACAGCGAGCCAGTTTATGTTGAGGAGCGTTTACCATCGACAGAATCGGTCTGAGTGGCACTCCGCTCTTATGTACTTTCAGTAGCTCGTATAGCTGAGAACTAGTGGAGCCAGTCAGCTTCAATCTGTCACAAGTATCACTGTCAATCATACGATGCAGATGAAGTACATCTAAGTGATGAGTTATGCGAGGCTCTAGCACAGTCACATCCTCTGCCCTCTTAAGTCGTTTGAATTTACTTGTGTCCTCGAGTATGGCTGTCATATTCTTTATGTATTCATTCCTATTCATGAGTACCAGACCAGAACCTATAGCTGGCTTTGTTACAATCACATCCTCGGCACGTAGTTCGCGTAATGCCAGTAAATGCCGTTTTGTAAGCGCACACTTTTCTTCTACAGGCACATGTCTAACCTCATAAGCAATATCTGTCAGCCTGCTTCGAGAAAATGTGAGATTGTCAGCACTTGCTAGTTGCAGATCTTTCGCCTGACCAAAAACTTTTTCAAACTGCGATTAAATAAGAAGCGCATTTAACCATCTGGGAGGAATGGTTTCAGGCGGGCAACACCCAATTTGCGGCTGCTTCATCAGCTACGGTCCTAGTGATCGAATGGCCAAGGTTCACTTCAATGGGAATCGCGGTCTACTTTGAGATTGCGCGTCGCAATCCATCCACACAACGTGTACTTCAAATTCACTTTCCAATCTGTTATTTGCCGTTGTGCCAAGCTTTGCCCGTCGTGACCCGGTGGCTTAGGGGTGGCGGTCACAACTAACATCTCAATGGTCCCGGGTTCGATGCCTGCTATCTCTATCTGATGAGAGGAAATAACCTCGAAACGCGTCATGGAGTGCAATGGTTTCAGGTGGGCAACACCCAATTTGCTGCTGCTTCATCAGCTACGGTCCTAGTGATCGAATGGCCAAGATTCACTTCAATGGGAATCGCAGCCTACTTTGAGATTGCGCGTCGCAATCCATCCACACAACGTGTACTTCAAATTCACTTTCCAATCTGTTATTTGCCGTTGTGCCAAGCTTTGCCCGTCGTGACCCGGTGGCTTAGGGGTGGCGGTCACAACTAACATCTCAATGGTCCCGGGTTCGATGCCTGCTATCTCTATCTGATGAGAGGAAATAACCTCGAAACGCGTCATGGAGTGCAATGGTTTCAGGCGGGCAACACCCAATTTGCTGCTGCTTCATCTAGGAGGAACTTTGTAGTTTATGCCAAATGATAATGTTTCCAATTGTAAGGCATTAAACTTCAGATCCGACATATTCACCACATACTTACCGTGGTCACGAGTACCTGCCACTTCCTCTTGGTTGTTCATCAGAGACTTTTTTATACGAGTCAACGCAATAATTTTTGTGCGGTCAACGGTGGTTTAAAAAAACCAAGAGAACGGAGTAAGACAACAGAGGGACAAGCTTTTCATGACGGGTAATAGGCGTGTGTGTATCTCAAATAAAGCCATAAATCTGGTTTGTGCCGTCTCAAGATGAGCGGATGCAACACGTCTAAGATTAGCTGCAGAAGACTTCAATTTCGTCCTACGTAACATCGTAACAATCGATCGAGAATAACGACGACGTCGGACATATCCGGAGAGGAAGGATATTTCCTCACGCTTACAAGCAATCTTATATCGCAAGTTGACAATGCGGTGCAGTAGTTTGACGGTTTTAGAGGGAATTCGACTTTTCAGAAATTTGAAATAATTAGTTCCCTTTAATAATTTGGAAAGTGCAGTAAAGAGAAGAAAACTAACAAAAGCACGCATTTCACAGTGTCTCATCAATGCCCTTAAGAATAACTCGCAATAATATTTATTCAGTGAAGGATGCGACCAAACATACATGCAAACAAACAAACAGTCAAACACACGTTAAGCGAGACAAGGTTATCCATCATAACCACAGGGCAGTCCAATGTTAACCGACAATTGCTTCTGAATAAAAAGCAACGGCTTAATCCGGTTAAACGCAAACGGCTCCGTAAAACAGATGAGGCGAGAATTGGTGTGCAGTAATACCTCGCTATTCACGTATAAAATGCCTTTGGGAAACCAACAACCAGCGAGCACAAAGGATGGTGTCGTTCTCTAGAATTCTGCGATAACTGTCGAACCACAAACATCATGTGCATGGTGCTGCGATCAGAACGGAATCCACACTGTTCTTCCGCCACATTAGGTTCTACAACCTGACTGACGAGGAGGTTGAGCAGGATTCGCGCAATCACAGCCCCTATACAACTCAGAAACTTGATACCATCATAAGCGCAAAGGGAGAAATGTAGCACGTTATCGTGCTATATATATACATCGGGAGAGCAAATGGTGCGTTGACACTCACGATGATTAGATTTTGACAGGTGGTCTACCCACTGCTGCTACTGTTGTGTCATGGGGTTATATCCTGAACGCCTCCGCGTAACGACCGCTGGGTGGGAGCTGGGTTACGCACCTCCTAGCAATGAGTCAGGACAAAAATCCGCATGAGTCAGTGCACTGACTATGTGCTAGACCCGCTGCCTTTCGGGCGTACATTTAATCGAAAACTTTGGCTGAAGGCCTCAATCACCCTCCTGTCAGGTGCGGGCGCCCTGCCGGTATCTTAGCCCAAACCCCATCCTCTTTGGAGGTTAGGAAGTGGTTGATGGCCCTCTTCTCGTAAAACCTAGCCATTGGAGACAATAGGTCTACGGGTTATAAGCTCACCGCTCGATTGGCGTAGAGCACGAGCGCCACGCAGTGTCTGACGACGGGAGAGCTTCTCCAGATACGCAATAGTTTTCTACCGACCGCCTCAAGCCATGCAGACTCTGGTCAAATTGGTGCAGACTCGCAAAAACTCTTCTGCATCTGGATGTGGTCACAGATGCGTTTTAATACGGTCGCAAAACACAAATTAATAGTTCCAGAACTTCGGAGGTCGCGTGTGACGGATCTCAAGCAGACCTCAGTCTGTCTCTGCAATCGCATGCCAGAGCTGCATCTGCTCGCCACTGAGTTGTGGGTTAGGCTATTGAGCCGAAGGCTCCGGGTGGAGTCCCTCAAACAAACCTCAGAAGCACAACCACCAGCACGAGCGCGATTGCCCACCAACGCAGTCGTATGCCCGTGCGCGACGCACTCAACATCGGGTGCTGAAACGTGCGCACACTACTGGACCGCAACCCGACTGAGCGCTCCGAACAACGCACTGCACTCGTCGCAATGGAACTGGCGCGCTACAACATCCATATTGCGATGCTCAGTGAGACCCGCCTCGCTGAGCAAAGTAAGTTGCATGAAGCTGGCGCTGACTATACGATGTAGGGGGTGGAAAACGTCACCTCAGCAATACGTGAACATGGGGTCAGTTTTGCAAAACCCTGTCCCCTAAATGGCCAGCTAGTGGGTGAGCCGACTCGCATAAGCTAGCGACTGATGACTGCTGGCATGCGACTCGCAAGATGTAAGTTTGTTACTTTTATAGGCACGTGCCTGACAAGACGCATTGCGTACCGAACTTGCGTTTTGTCATAATGACATTGAGTTGCAGGGGAATAACAAATCGACCGCAAGTGCGGTTCGCCGTTCGGCTTCCCCATCCCTTTGAGGAGCAATATTCGGGTTAGTACCATGACACAGGTATTCATCGACGGTATGCCACGCAGCCTGATCGATTGTCCACACGTACTCAAAGGAGATTCCCATCTACCGTGAGAAAAATATGATACGGTCATGAGAAAGTGCATCTAGCCTCTGATGCTCAATCTAAGTATATGCAACCTGTGGATGAACAGTGGATCACTTAGAGTGCCATATCAAAACATCAAGGAGATTGACTCACAAAATAGAGATTGCTAGATAACGTCATCAAAGCCAGGAGTGCAAAGCGCACTTCACAGACAGCCTACAAACAACGATCGTGGATTAATGCGCATCTGCAAATCACTGGTGCTCATGTGATCATTGCAACCATAATAACTGCCCGTCAGATTAAAGAAAATAACAGCCAAACTCAGTTGCACTAATTCGATCCGTACAGCAAAGGCGCATCCACACAATGCAAAGGAGACTCAAAAAAAAATCACAGGTGCAACCGTCTGTACTAAAAGATCTACCGAAAACTGAGCTGTGCCTCCAGACATCCTTGAACATAGGCTAGACACAAACCGACACTTAAGGGTTACATGGGTTTGCAAGTAGTAACGGCGGGCAAAGCAATGAATAAATGTCGAAAATCGAAGCAAGCACTTCTTTCAGGAACCGCGCATGCAACTAACAAGAAGAGTCGTCTGCGGAAGGGACTGATTCAAAATTAATCAGCCATTTGGATGATGTAAGCATCCATTCAGTCGGTGCCGGTTGCATTGATCAAGACACACGTGCATCAATGAACGGTGCTATCTGAGTAGTGTGTAAATGTCGGCAACGGTGTATGAACGGAACCATAAGGTCCTCTTGTCAAGAATGAAAATGCACAAAGGCAAATCTTCCGGTCCAGTGGAACCACTCAGCCCTCCGGCCGGATGCTGCGAGTCTGTCGGTGATATGTAATGGGTGGCTGACAGGCAGCGCAGTACGAAAACGTGATGCCCTATCCGAGGTTTGCTGAATCACAACCACCAACACGATGGGTAAAATGCATAGCGTTAGGCCTATCAGCATTTTGATTCAAGCGCACACGATCCATCGTCTTGCGATCGCAGACTCACACCAAGCATAAATAGGTAATGAATAATGCATACATTTGCCAAAGACGCGAGTGACCACTCACGTTTCGCGACCAACTTCGCCCAAATGAATAAACAGAAAGAGAGGAAGTGTTTGTGTGGGTGTGGGTGTGCGTGTGTGTGTCCACGGCAGGCTGCAGTCCAGTCAGTGGAAGAAATTGGAATGCATCTCGATCCCGACACGGTGGAATGAACGCAGCGTGCGTTCCTCTAACAATGATGGTAACCGATTGGTTGAGCCAAGAGATGGACAGTACATGACACGGCAAAACAAAATGAAGTGTGAAAAGGGAGATTACTTTGCAAGCTGCAATCAGTCAGTCAAATTTAATGCACATTCATGGAAAGCCACCATCAAGTCATTTAACGAGCAATGCCAGAAAAAGAAAAAGGGAAGCGCACTCAAAAACGTCTGTCAAATGATAACAGAACAGCGCAGTTCCGGCTGGATACATGCGCCATTACAAACACAATACCCAAGAAACGCTGCTGAGAATGTCATGTTCGGCCCAGCAAAAACTACCTCCACATGTGGAATACATCGATAATCCGTCCGGCATACCGACTACCGATTCTCGGCACTGATCAGACCCAGTCTCTTGGCATTGTCCAATTTCACGATAATAGTTTTGTGCATAGTTGAAAAATGAGCAGCAATGCACAACAGCCTATATTCGTCTCTGTTTAGAAAGGGTTTATGAAATTTCAGACTGCGTTTGGCATTTCGTATGTAGGTTGAAATTACACTCATACAGAAACGGCTGTTTCAACCAGTCGAGCATCCACATGTAGCAACTTGTGTGGTGACGGCTGAAGTTCTCAAAGCAGACGGTGGGTGCCCAGTTTGCAATTGGTTCGCAAACGCCTCGCAATCAAATAAGGTAGCATCAACAGTGTGCAGCGCACTGACTTACTCAATGAGTAGTCTGGTTATCCGAAGTCACTAGCCCAAGGAAGCACAGAATCGAAAATGGCGTTCAACAGAACCACGTCAAAACCAACAGGTAGCATCATGTGAGATAGAATGTCAGACGCTAAGAGGCTGATGAAATTCAGCAGAATAACCGTGAACACATTTGGAGTAATGAAAAACATCTAACACTTTGAGAAACATACTCACTTAAATGCACTGCTGCAATATGCCTTTTTAATGCACCGCTCTGAGAGAAGCATCTGTCACAATGCTCACATCTGTGGGGCTGTTTCTCTGCAACGGTAAATAAAGCTATGCCAGTAACAATAAAAGAAGTAAAGAAAAGATTAAGACAGAAACGAAGTGCTTCCAAATCAATCGCTAACCAGAGACATGCTGAAAATCGCAATCCCACCGTGACCAGTAGCGTAAAGTAGCCTGTTGTTCAGATTTTGTTCTGGTAACAAACGCAATCAAACAAGGCTCCGCGCTAGTTTCGCGCGTAGGGCGAGTAGCGTGAGGGCTTATAGCAACCAATCACCACCCTCTTATACATCTGACAGTGTGAGACAGGGACAGTCACTGTCACCTTTCCTTACTGACTTCATTACTGACAGTTACGGAAACTGCCTCCATCAGACACAGATTAGGTGTGGACCTGCTCCCAAATGTACGACTGACTTGGAATATGAAGCTGATACATCTCTTATTTGTAACAGCTTACAAATGTGTCAATGAGCAATGGGTAAATTAGCACTGGCTGTCAGTCGTCTAGTACATCGCTTTTTACCCCTGCAAAGCGCGAAGCAACGAGCGCCCCTGCACCGACCCTGGTGGTGAATAAGCCAGAAATCGTCCATACATGCAACATGGACAGCTGCTTCATAGCAAGTGGAAACGGAGATCACAAAGGTAGAGTCAACGCTCGAGCCGCTTCTGCTAGCCTACGCCACATCTGGCGTAGCTGTGACATCACTATCGCCCTGAAGAATACAGTGTACTGTTCAACATTACTGTACGGTTGTGAAACTTGGCCCAGAAAATCGGCAAACGTGAAGAACCTATCTGCTTTCGAAGTTTCGCATGCATCTAGCAGAAACACCGTGCGAACAATACTCCCCTTCTGCGTCATGTTTATGGAGCAAGAAGGGATTGCGGTCTCACCGTGCCGAATGCCAATGTACATAAGATTCCGATAAAAAAACATACCGAAAACAGCGACGAAGCTAGACTCTCGAGTTAGCGATCTCATCTAAAATCACGAACGATACCTACCCCAGCTTAACCAGAGGCTGTCGCATCAGCATCTCCAGACGCGTGTAATCAACGGCGAGAGGACAACCCAGTCTCAGTTCATTCAACAACGCTATGAGGGCCAGTCATCCTAGTTTCCGACACACACCACACATCAATACACAGTGTGTCCAACCTGCGTGGGAGCACAGGATGTTGACCAATTCATCATATAGTGCGAACGTCGAATGCCGCCAGGGAAACGGAACAGTGTGGCCTTATAAGGGACAGTTGCTGATAGGCAACTACAATTGGTTCGACTCCAGTGTCAATACAGCTGCTGTCAATTAAGCTGGGATTGATAGAAGGGAGGTTAGAATTCGGGGAACGGATGGGAGTAAGAGACGTTGTCCAGCGGGTCGCATTTCCGCTGTGGCAGAAAGTTCAATGTCAGGATTGGTGACTCCAGATCTAACAGGTGCACTGTTCAAACGAGCCTCACCAGGATTCACTATTAAGTCCGTTAAAGTTCGTTATGTTTATAGATGATGTAGCTGCACTCCTTGAGAACCCTTGTTTTGTTTCTGTGGATGATGTAGTGCTTGTCAGTGAAATATAGATATACGTCGTCTACAAATCTGGGTACTTTAACCAAGTGGTCTGAGTCATGGGGCTTACCATCGAACGCGAACAAATGTCAAATGTTATCATCAAGTAACGTTGGGATTACGGTGCAAGCATCCACTGTGTCCCATCGCAATGAGGCTGGACCTTACCGTGCTGCGATGGTTTGTGTGCCTCAATGATCTATTGAGCTATACTGGGTGGTGCATTTTTGCACCTTCAGAGCAACTCATACCAGATTGGTCAATGGTTAGAGGCTAGACAAATTCAACCTCCTAGTCCTCCAGGTTGGGGGTTAGAATGAGGGTGGCTCCTTTTTCCTTAAAACGGACTCCTTGTAGCCCAGTGCCAAACCCGCTGCCTAGCGGACAGGTTTTTGAACCAAAGGTTTCGGTTGAGAACCCTAATCGTTCTCCTGTCTAGGCCTGGGCAACCTGACAGTATCCCGCCCACGCAATACAATGAATTTCTCGTCAAACAAATTTCTGATGCTCTGGCCACCGCAGAGGATAATCAACGGTGCCCCATCTGCTGCATCGGGCAGGGTGGATAGGGGTTTGGATGCTACTGATCAAGCCTTCCCGTCTTCTTATTTCCCTCTTACGCGTTTTCACCCTTACCGTCCCGCTCCAGCTTCAACTATATCCTCCGTTTTCAAACCCCAATTCTCGACCCTCCCCCACCTTGCTTCAATAGTCGCTTGTCTTCTAGTTATAACTCACAGGTGAACGCGGAGCGTCATTCCTGCACTGTCAACAGGCCCATGTCCAAGCAAGCGGCCCATTCCAGTTCATCGGCTTCCATTTGGAGCCCTCGATCCTCCTTCAGACTGGCATGCCTCAATGTTCGCACTCTGCTTCAGATCGGTCAACAGACAGCACTTGCCCGAACATTAGAGACCCTCTCAATCGATATCTGCTGCTTATCGGAGACCCGCCTGCAAGACTCGAGCTCTGTGCTCACTCTGCGATCCCCTTCAGGTGACACTAGCAGCAATTTCTCATTGCGCCTATCCGGTGGCGATGCAGCTTCGAGTACCGGCCAAGCTCGTGTTGGTATTGCCTTGAGTCCCCGGACTGAAGCTGCTGTGGTTGACTGTATTCCAATCAGTAGCCGGATGTGTACGGTCCGATTGGCTGGCTCGTTCAAAGCTTCGAAGTCGCGTGGGACTAACAGGTGTTTATTCGTTATCGCTGCCTATGCACCCACAAACTGTAGCGATGACTCGGTAAAAGACGACTTCTATCATCAACTGAACGAGCCCCTTAGCCACAGAAGAAGCTCGGACACTGTAGTGCTGGCAGCGGATCTGAACGCTCAACCTGGAAAATTATCCACCGATGAGCTGCATCTGGGCGGCCAACCTGGTATAGGTTCCCGGAATGATAACGGTGAGCGGTTTCTTCTTTTGTGTAAGGATGCTCGCTTATTTCTTGCAAGAACTAATTTCAGACACAGCACCCGCCGAAGGATGACTTGGCACCCACTAGCCTCGAACCAGCCTTGGACGCAAATTGATCACATTGCGATAAGTTACCGATGGAGAGGCTGCGTCCAGAACTGTCGCTCAATTTGGAGCAAAGGTGGGGACACCGACCATGCACTTGTATGTGCTGATCTGCAGGTGCGTTTTGGCGGACGCCCACGACGACGTTGTGAGCGCATTGAAACCAGCCAACTGGCGAAGCCAGCTGTTCTGAATGCGTATCAAAGTACGCTGTCATGCGAGGTGGACAAACGCTCACTGGATGCAACTGAAGCTCACTGGTCTCATATTCACCAGACCTTACTAGCAGCAGGAAAATCCTCATGTGGTATTTCTAATCGTCATCATGGACATTGGGTCTCTTCACAATCTCTGGAACTTATAGATGCTCGCCGGCATATTCCGGCTGGAAGCAAACACAATGAAACTCGCAAAGAGCTCCGGGCAAAACCCCGTGCTAGCCGAGAGACCATGAATCCTGGTGGTCTAATCGTGCAACAGAGATAGAAATGGCCGCTGCCCATGGTAACCATCGTAAGTTATTCCGATTGATACGGGAAACGGTCAGCGGGAGACCTGGTGTTAGTGAAACAATTTGTGCCGCAAGTGGACAGCCTATGCACAACTTTTCAAAACGCTTGGAGCGTTAGGATGAGCACTTTGAAAAGCAATTTAATCGATCGGAACGGTTAGATTCCTCACCGCCCACTGATCGCCTTGCTCCCTGGGCTGTCGCTTTGGATCCACCCTCTCGCTCAGAAGTCGAACGAGAGATCGGACTGATGAAGTAAAACAAAGCCGCGGGACCTGATGATCCTATTCCAGGCTCTTCAAATTCGGGGGACCTGCTCTTATGGATGATTTACACGAGTTACTAGTGAAACTGTGGGAGCAGGAAACTGTCCCAACCGATTGGAGCCGCTCTGTCATAGTCCCAATTTTCAAAGGAGGCTCACAATCGCAATGCGGCAGCCATAGAGGAATCAGTCTGATATCCATCGCCTCCAAATTGCTTGCCTCTGTCATCCTTCACAGACTGACTGGCACTTGTGAAAGCCAGATTCGTGAAGAGCAAGCTTGATTTCGTCGAGATCGTAGCTGCATTGACCACATCTTCACGTTGCGTAAGTTGTTGGAGCACCGGCATATATATTGGCGGCCACCATTGTCGTGTTCCTCGATATCAAAGGTGCATTCGATTCGGTGGATAGACATGCACTTTGGGACTGTCTACTCAGGAAAGGTGTACCTGAGAAATATGTGAATATAATCCGAGCATTATACGCGCGTAGCTCGGGCAGAGTAACGGCTTACGGTAAATTGTCGTCGTCCTTTAATATCTACAGCGGCGTGAAACAAGGATGCCCGCTGTCGCCTTTCCTCTTCAACTTCGCTGTTCACGAAGTCATGGAAATCGCGTTCACAGAACACGATTTAGAAGGTGTGGAGCTAGTCCCAGGAGAAGGACTTCTTGATTTAGAGTATGCTGATGATATTGCCCTAATTTGTGACAGCTCACAAATGTGCCAAGCGGCACTGGACAGATTGGCACTAGCCGTCCGTCACTTCGGGCTTTGCTTCGCACCCTCAAAGTGCAAAGCGTTCCTACAAGATTGGACTGGATCGCCTGATACGCTGACCGTTGGTGGGGATCCGCTAGAAGTGGTTCAAAAATTCAACTACTTGGGAAGTTGTATCAGCGCCCGTGGGATTGAAGATGAGATCACGAACAGTATAGCAAAAGCTCGGGGCGCTTTTGCCAACCTTCGCCACTTATGGCGCCGGCGCGACATCAGTCTTACCCTGAAGGCTAGAGTGTACAATGCAGCAGTATGTTCGACCCTACTCTACGGTTGTGAAACCTGGCCGTTTAAAGCAGCGGACCTCAAGAGGCTAGTTACGTTCGACCACTGGTATCTTCGTAATTTAGCTCAAATCTGGTGGGAACACT